AGCTTTAATAAGTTGTACCTACACACAATTTATTTGCAATCTTGAGTTTTAAATAATATGCATTAGTAAACAATACTTTAAGCATAAAAAGTGGTTTTCAAGAGTTTTTGTCAAATGATTTATAATATAGAATATTTTTTTATATAATTTAATTTAAGTTTAATAATTAAACAATTTATTTTTGGTTTAATATTATAAATTTTATAAAGATAATAATTAAGTATTCTGTTARAATTTAATGATTATACTAATTATATTTTAAATTTTTTATATTTAAAATGGGATGTTTATCCTGTATTTGATTGTGTTTATCTGCAGTTAGTTACACGAATTCAGATATGGGATGAAATCGGATAGGGATGAAATCGTTTAGGATGAACGGGTTTATGAGTTTTTAAGAGTTTTAAGAGTTTTTAAGAGTTTTAAGAGTTTTTAAGAGTTTTAAGAGTTTTAGCCAAATGCTTTATAAGATAGTATAGATATATTTTTACATTTAAAATGTGATGTTTATCCTGTATATGATTATGTTTATCTGCGGTTAGTCACACGAATTTAAAATGGAGGTATAATAAGTTATATTTATGCACAATTTACTTATAATCTTGAATTTGAAGTAATATTTATACTACCTTATAAACCAGATTTATCAAAAGTCTTAAAAATAATTTTTAATGTCCAAAGTACTATACCATTTGCTGCACCTTCCGACTCTAAGGTTGACTCAAGTCTTGTTTTCGAACATTTATGCACAAAGTCTTAAAAACAACTCACAATGCATTAAGTACTACTATTTTATGTATTAAGTCTTGAAAGCTTTTAATCTACAATTAAAATAACATTTACCGCAAGTTACCAATGCACATTATTACCTTTTCTTTTCATGTTCCCAAGATACTTTTGACACATTTTACTCATGTCTTCACATTCTCATACCTTTATGTCTTCTCACCATCCTCCAATATGAGATTTAAACTGGTATTCACCATGAGTTATTAAAAGTTGTCTCATTCATCTCTCATTCAATTGCTCTAGAACTCTTGGTCTCGCTCTCGATTTCTTGATTCTTTGATCTTGGTGTAAATCGAACATATTTGTAGAGTCGTTTAAATATGTTGGATTTTAAATATATTGGATTTTAAACTGTCATACAAGTTTTTTGATTGATAGACTGTAATTGAAACCATAACTCTTATTTATTCAAATTGTATTAATATGTAAATACCAAGTGTAACTTATATCATCGTTAAATCTTCTCTAATAAAACCAGTGAAACTTCAAAATCGTTAAAATTCATGGCTCCCGCCGCATTGTGCAGATACACAACTAGTGCATCAATAAACAATACCTCATGCATAAAAAATGATTTTTCAAATTTTTTGTCAAATATTTTATAATGTGATATATATTCTCTGTAGATAGACTATAATCCAAAATAAAATGTAGTAATTATCTCTAACATATATATAGTTATCATAAATTTAATATAATTATATATATTTACAAATAACACCTTGTAATTATCATTATTAAGTTTCAACACATATTTTCATAATTATCCTTCAAGAATAATTATATCCAAAATCAACTTGATTTAATCTGAGTTTCTACAAATGGAGGCAAACATATTATTTGTTGTGACCTACAGATGTACATACTCTCCAGTAGTATATTTTTATAACATGTGTCGTGGCATATAATAACTTACAGATACATAATGTAAATACCCGACAAAAACACATATTGACTTATTGTATAGAAGGTTCTAAAACCTAATTTGACTTGGTAAGAGCAACCATATTTGTTAGAGCATAGAGCCTCTCCAAAGCTTCTTCAAAATAGAAAAAATGAGGATTTTGAGTCAATATTTTGCTCTAATAGCTTCCTCAAAATTATCTTCAAAAGGGAGAAAGTAGGAGATCAATTTTTAGATGGGATAATGTTTTATCTGTCATCTTTAATCATATAATTTTTTTATAATTTAAATTTTGAAATTTTTTTTTTAAATATACGACCAAGTCAATTAAGGGTGTTTGAGATTGCTTACAAAAACAACTTATTGACTTATTCCGGTGTGACACATGAAATAAACACTTTAGAGTGTTTAGATAAACAATTTATACCGATACCAAACCGGTAATAAGAAGTTTTTGAAGAAGCTAAACTCTTCTGACTTATAATAAGTTGATAAGTGTTTTTGTAAAAAACAACATAAGTTATATCAAATAAGTAATCCCAAACACCCCTTATGTATCTTATATCAGTAGAGACAGACATATAGCATGGAGAATAGGACCCCATGCACGCATTAAAATCTAGATTTGTAAGGTAAACGTTTTTTAGCATATGAGAGATGCATCCGTTAAAAATTGAGGGGTGCACCAAACTTAAAAATGAAGGGACCAACTTAATAATAATTGTATATTTGTGTAAAATATGGACTAATTAGACAAAAATACAAAGATGGAGGACCAAACTGTAATTTATGATTTTCTTTTTAAAGCAAAGAGCACCAAGAGGGGGTTTCAAAATTTTATAAACTAAAAACTTTAAACAAACATCAAACGGCGCGAGTTCTTCGTCTCTTCCTTGTTCCCCTCACGGCGTCGGCATCTGCCGTGGGCCCAGCGCCCTCACCGCTGTTCGGCGGCTCCGGCCAGTTCTCTCAGGTTCTCGCACTCACTCGGACACTCTCTCAATCTCTCATTCAGGTTTTGTCCCACGACATAACTCAAATTTAAAATTTTGCCCTACATTGGCTGATTCTGATGTTATACAATTATGTCTACATGATATATTTGTTTGTTTTAAGTTTTTTACATTTGAGTAATTGAGTATTAATCTTGACATGTATTTTTGCCCTAAAATTGATTAGTTACAATGTTATAAAGTCATGTTTACATGATTTATTTGTTTGTTTTGATTTTTTAGATTATTTTTATTTTCTCAACATTAGTTGTTTTATTTTCCCTAAATTGATTTATTTGTGTTAATTTGATATTAGTCTTTGGCCCTAAATTGATTATTTGCGTCAATTTGATGTTAATTTTCTTAGATTATCATCAATTTTCTCAACCTTAGTTGCTGTCTTGTTAGTGTTAATTTGTTTAATCAATCTAGGTTCTTTTAATTTGGTTGGTTAATTTTAATTTGCAAAACATCCTATTTAGTAATAAAATCCTAGATGTATAAGGAAACAAAATTAGAAACCTTGAAAATAGGGAAAGGATAACGAGAATCAAATCCTAAAAGTCGAGAAAGTTTTAGAAAATCAACCGAAAAAACAGAATAAGTCCCTCAAAATCAACCAAAAAACCGAAAAATTCTCTTGAAATCTACCAAATAAGTTTCTTATCAGGCAAATTTTTTTAAAAATCCCTTGAAATCAACAAAGAAGTTAAAGAATCTCTTGAAACAAAGGAATTTGGCTATAAACACATCAAATGGATTTGCAATGTCATGAATGATGATGTACCCGCTTTCAAAAGTTGAGGCCCCTTCGAGACAATTGTAGAAGGAAACTTATTTTTATCGTTTTAATGAAATCATATTTTTACTTAAAAAATTCTATCTTAAGCTTTTCGTTTGTGCCCCCGCTCACCTAAAATCCTGGGTCCGCCACTGTATATCTGGTGATTTATGCATCTTCTGTTCTCTGACCGATTTTAAATTATGTTTGCAGTACATATTTGTTTGATGTGTGTTTCCTTCAATTAGAACCGTAAAGAAAATGTCTACCGGAGAGTACATAAAGGTCTCTTTTGAAGATTTAGTTAAGGTAGGCTTTTTGAGCTAGATCTCATTTGATTCTTGTTTGCATTCAATTGCTCATAACTGTTGCAGAATTTTAGGTTTCTCTCATAGATGCTTTGGTTTCTTTAACAAATTCTCTTGTGTGGCTTTTGGTTTGACATAATGTTTTTGAGGGAATTGAATTTCGTGAAAGGATTTGGAATCTTTAGTGTGTTTGGTTTGCAGGATTTGGAATGGAATTGAATTCAATACTTTATAGATAATTTACAAAAACAAATTATAAATGATTATTAAAATAATTATATTATTTTTTATAATTTGACTATTACAAAACGAATGTTTTTAACATGTTTTTAAAACATTATTACAAACAAATCTATGAAATCCCGTGAAATACCCAATTCCCCCATGGGATTTCTAAATCCCTCGGCTGTGGAATTTCAAATCCACACGTTCCTTCAAATCAAAGATAGGATTGGAATGGAATTTAACTTCAAATCCTACCAAATCCCGCAAACCAAACGGGCCCTTAGGCTTTCACCTGGGATTTTTGAATCTTGATTTATATGAACTTGAGAATTCCTTATGGCACCTGGTTCCATTTAGTAAATCAATTTTTCTTGGTCAAATCGGACTATTTACATATTCAAAATTACCGAGAGTGATGCTACGGATTGGACATTAGCATATGCTTACTTATAGTGTTGTTATGGTCATCAACATCTGCTAAAAAGTTTAAATCTGTGGTGCTACTTTTGAAGTTGCAAGTAGTCCATTTGACCCAAAGAAGTGTACTCTTTTTTTTATGAATGGAGTATATTGGATTTTCAAGTATTCAATGAAGAAAATGGATTAATGGGCATTGCAACAACGACTAAAACTCGAAGTTTTCTAAGTTCATGGGAATCAATCTCTACTCCGGGACGTGTTCTCTGAAATGTCTGATCATTATATATTTTTTTATCTCTGAATTCAGGTAGAAAGTCTCATAGAACAATGTCTGCTGCATTATATGACCCAGAAGCAGGTCATAGATATTCTCTATCAGCTACAGCACATAGAGCCTGCCTTTACAGAGACTGGTATGTAATTTGAGTCCTGTAACGTGTTTCCTCTCTTTATTTTGTAGTTTCTGGTTACACAATCGTTTTTTTTTCTGTATTTAACACATAGTTTTCCTGTCACACATGCAACCAAGAAGATCTTATTTTATATAAATTAGATATGCATGAGGGACCCTCAATATTTTGCTCTTCTAGCTCTGCAGCTCATGCTGGAAACCTGAGAACCAAGTTAGACCCGACCATTGTTTAGGCCTAAAAGTAAACTTAAATTTATGATACTTAATTTTAGCTTTAATGCTTTATATCTATCATAATACATAATTCCACATCACATACATATTTAACTTCAACATAATCGTTTTCTGTCTTCCAGTTTGGCAGAAACTTGAAGAACAAAATCAAGAGTTTTTTAAGTCATACTATCTGAGGGTGGTGGTGAATGAGCAAATAATGGAATTTAATAATCTGCTTGGTAGACAGGCTGCACTGATGAACCAGGTGGACCCAAGCTTAGCCTCTTTTCCGCCTGTGTCTAATGTATCTCACATGCCAGCAAGTAAGTTGCCTTCAACTTCAAGATTTTTCCATGGATGCATTCCTCAAAGTCATTTATCTGTACTTTTCTATATTCTTCCCTTTTATCGTCTTATTATCAGTTGTATTATGCGTCCTTTGATTAAATGAGATTTCACTTACGAGCATAGCCTTAACTTAATGGCCTTCACGTGACCTGCCCTGGTGTAAAACAGTCTGCCCCCGTAAAAACTTGATAATACTATGGAAGGTTAGATTTCTTAAAATAAGTTTTGTAGAAGGTCAGTCAGCTAAACAGTCTGATGTACTATCTTGCAGTTCCCCATAACGGATCATATTATGCATCTGATACTGGCATTGTACTGAAGACGGAGAACATGCAGCCCTTTGTTCCAACGGTTCCAGTGAACTGCTTTAATAATTGTGGACCGTTTCTACACTCAGGGATGCAGCATGCTCTTGATCGGTCTACTTATTCCAGAAGGATCGATGTTCCATCTAATATGGCGTTGGCTCATAACTCAGACATTGGAATGACGGAAGGGGTTGCAATCAAAAGTGAACCGGGCTACTTGGACAATTCAAGGTTTGTCTACCAGACTGGTGGCGATGTCCTTGGAGCGCATCCTGCGATTGAGCATGCATCCATTTCACCATTTGGCAGCATGGATCCTAATTCACAAACATTTTTCAGACAGATCTCCCAACAGATTGGTCCACCAGGCGTGCCTGCTGACTTCACCAATTCAGGTCCAGTCTCTCTCTCTCTCTCTCTCTCTATATATATATATATATAGATATACACTATATGTGTGTGTGTGTGTGTGTATAGATCACATGAACGTGTCTATACTTTTTGGTTAATTTCATGTGTTGGAATCTATTTGCAGACACCCTAAGGCTTTGCAACTCTGCGTTTCAGTTACCAGATATAGACAATTTCTGGTTGCCCTAAGGCAGAGCACCAAGGTAAGATGTTTCTGGTTACCCATACTTGTTTTAGTTTGAAATGTAATTTTCGCATGTATGTGCGGCCAGGGGAAAACAAGAGACTGGACAACTTATCAGGCAACTTATTAGGTTTTCAGAAATTTGTCCATAGAACCAAACTAATTATTTAGAATTTCTCATTTTTTGTATATTTCTTTAACTCTTTTTTTTTTTTTAATTTTTGGTTTAATAGTATAATTTTCTATAAAAATAATAATTAAGTAGTTTGTTATAACTTAATGATTATTCTAGTTATATTTTAGATTTTTTTATATATAAAATGCGATATTTATTCTTTATTTGGTTATTTTTTTTACAGTTAGTTATACGAATTCAAACAAGAAGCTTTAATAAGTTGTACTTACGAACAATTTACTTGTAATCTTGAATTTTAAGTAATATGCATCAATAGACAGTACGTCATGCTTAAAAAATAATTTTTAAGAGTTTTTACCAAATGCTTTATAATCTATACTATCTTATAAAACATTTGGTTAAAACTCTTAAAAACTCTTAAAACTCTTAAACCCGTTCATCCCTAAACGATTTCATCCCTATCCGATTTCATCTCATATCTGAATTCGTGTAACTAACTGCA